CCAAACTGTAAAATAAACTACTCGGCTCATTTGCGCTATACTAGCATATGCAACATTTTTGTGCTGTACAGATTTTGACAATTTAATCGGGCTTTAAAGGAGACTTCGAAAGGCCTTAATATTTGGCTGCCCGTCGTAAAGAGCTGAACTGATCAACTGAACAAGAGAGAGCACATATTGGGATAGAATGAAGTAGGAGCTGATAATGCAGCTTAAGAAGAGGGATAGTGTATAAAAACAAAATGAGGGGAGGATAAATTCCAAAAGTGTGAAGAAGAGCATTTCTGTTTGTCCATTTTGCTAGCTGTAATTTGGTGCTAATATTGGCATTACTCATAGACGCTGACTGTGGAGAGTATAGAAATGTACTTAAGACATTAGAACATTTCTCCCTCAATACTTTTAAAATATGATTGAATCCAAAGTGCAGCTTAGAAATTATGCCCTTATATGAGCAAAATAATTATAATTGCAGAAAGGTCATGGGGGGGGGAATTATAAGTGTGATGTATCATCTTCGGACGCCTACTTCTTTCGGTCCAGAGGCAAAGGGCCCAGTTGCATATTGGGCATGGTGTCTGTAGATCGTCGGCCCAGGCTGACTACCGGTTGGCCATAGAGTCTGACATTTTTGTTGTTGTTGTTGCTGCTGCTGCAGTTGGTTGAGCCGGTTGGCCGCCATGTCCAAGGTGCGGGAGGTTGCACTGAGCCCCACAGGTAGGGTCTGGCCAGGTCGGGGCGGGGAGCCGTGCTGACTGCGACCTGCCCATGGCGACGATGTGAGTGAAGGCTCGCCCCAAGGAAAGGCATCGTCAAGGCCACCTCCACCACCGCCGCCAGCTCCCCCGAAGCCTCCGAACTCGGATTGCGTCTCCATTCTGATCTGAGAGGTAGCGCGGGACCTATTTCGAGGCACTGTACAAGAAAGCAGACAGGGATAGGTTCGTGGAACGAAGACAGTGTAGACTGTGGCAAGTCTAAGACAATCACTAATGCATCTGATGCGAATTTGCTGAGTTCTGAATAAATAGAAGCAAAAGGACTCAAATTCCTGACATCTCTGCACTACAGGTCAATCTGAAATCATTGACAGTAGGGGATAAATCAGAAGGAAGCATCATCATCGGTACCTAAGAGTCTATGAAAGGGTGAAAAAAACTGACGTAGCAATCTGATTGAACTTAAGAGTATTATACAATTTCTCTACAATGCCTAAACAATATAGACACTTCAATAGGAACATGATTCGGCTTAAGTTACATGAAGTGACATAGAAATAATAAACGAATTTTTCATTTTGAGAGGAGTGGGGGAACCCCATTACAATCGGCCACATTATGATATCATCATTAAATAAATTCTGAAGCTATTCGTCCATCTAGAATAT